CATGGGATTTTAAAAAATATTAGTTTTTTAAATTAATGAATTTTAATGCAACATATATATTTTTACAGCATATTCTTTCAATTTCATTTCTTCCCCCATTCATTCACTGTTGCATTATTTTTTCCCTGCCCACCCCTCCCCCAGTTCGTTTTTCTTTGAAAAGAAAAAAAAAATTTCTTTCACTGTTATATAATCCCCCCAAGTCCATAGCCCACTTTACTATGCATTTCTTTTTCTGTAATATTGTCATGAAAATAATACCTAATCCTATATTCCTTTTAAATAGTTCTCTTTCTTGAAAATCCACTGAAGGACTGTCTGGGCCTTAACTCTGATTTAATGGCAGTGAGTTTGAGTGTTTGAATTTATTTGCCTTTAGGTTAAGGCTGGTGGGGTTTTTTTTGTTTTGTTTTGTTTTTTTTTTTTTTGCCTGTCTTCTTATTCTAGAGGTTTTCAAGGTGCACCACCCCTAGGCCCTCTGAAGACCTGGTGTCCCCCTTCTCTACTGAGTATTGTCTCTAGTGAGATCAAAGTGTTAAGGGCTTCATTCCAGGGAAGCTCTCCTTACACAGATCAGTGCTCTGAAGAGTGTTAACCCTTTCACAGCTATTTAGTTTATCAGATCATGCAGTACACAACTTCCACCTTATGCACATGTGGGAAATAATTCAATCCGTTACACCTGGTAATTTTGAACCAGATGTCTGTGATAGAAAAGGTGATGAGAAGGGAGGAGCAGAGAAAGATAGGATCTCTTGGTGAAGTATGGTTGCAGAAAAGGAAACTTTGTTTTGACACGTTGTTTGCATTGTCAGCAAGGACTTACATACAGCTGACCTTTCAGTGGATTTTCAGAGGCTTTACATTGCAAAGGAGGAGAATGCCCATCTTTCTTCTGTGGAGCAGCTGGTGGGCTGCAGAACTGAGTGCCTCAGGGTTGGAAGTTCAACTTCTTACCTCTGTTGTTGTTGTTGTTATGTGCCGTCAAGTCGTTTGCGACTCATAGCGACCCTATGCACAACAGCCCTAAACCCTGCTCTATCCTGCACCAACAGCACTGCCTCTGACACACCCATCCTGATTA